ACACATATATATATATATATACATAAATACACACACACAGGAATCTAATGAGAAATCGGCTCTGTCTATGTTAGGCAGGTATCAGGCAAAGCATTACGTCTTTTTTGGGTGAAAGATGAGGGTCACATGAGGAGCAGAAATTAAGTAAGGGTTAGTTCACACCAACCCCGATGCGTTCCTGCCCGATTGGTGCCAGAACATACTAGGTCGCATTCCGGCCTGCTTACTTTGTTTTGGGGCGGGAGGGGGCATGGTGGTGCATTTAAGTCAATGGCACCACAGCTACGCCCTCCGGCCACAGTGCGATCGCCTGCACCAGAGCGCATGGCACATCAGTGCCTGCATTCTGGTCCTGAGCAGTCAGAAAAAATAGTGCATGCAGCATCGGGCCGGAACGAATCGGGCTGGACCGCACTGGGGCTGGTGTAATCTAGCCCTAAATTGATTTGTAACTTCTACATTAAAGTGACACTATAAAGTCGGGAGTTAGATTTTAAAAATGCATTCAAGTACCTTAACTATGAACAAAAATGTATCCTATTTGTGTATCACTCAGCTGTAGATCCTCAAATCATCTCTGAATTCATGCTGACACTGTCCATCCTTCTGGAGGGGGGCAAATTTTGTTCCCCATAGTCCCTGTATGTGTTGTAGAGTAGCCACCGCTCCAAGCTTTAGCTTCTTCATTTATATTGAGATTGTAGTCCATCACGGGAGTGAGCTCGGAGCGATGGCTACTTTACAACACGCACACAGGGACCATGGGGAACAAAATTTGCCCCTCTCCAGAAGGATGGACAGTGTCAGCATGAATTCAGAGATGATTTGAGGATCTACAGCTGAGTGATACACAAATAGGATACATTTATGTTAATAGTTAAGGTACTTGAATGCATTTTCACTTTAAATAATGTGGTATGCACTTCATGTTGGATACATATTATGGGGTCTATTCACAAGCTGCCAAAGGATCAAGCCGTAACTTCGGCTCATCCTTCAGCTAGCTCCGGCCCCAGGACCCCTTCGGTTCTGTAGAACCGAAGAGCTGCTGTACAGGCTGTTCACTATAGCCCGTACAGCTCCCAAAGTTGGCCGAGCGGCTCAGTCTGTCATTACTCTCCCGGACGCTCTGGGAGTCTCCCGCTATTAGATAGCGGCTCCCAGCTGCCCAGGAGAGAAACACTTTCTCTCGGAAAGGTTTACTCTGCTGGATCAAGCAGAGTAAACCTTTCCCTGCTCAGTTGTTTGTTTCTTTTTCCTTCTGACATCGGAGCCCCTGGCGCCGTCAGTCAGAAAAAAAAACAGCATAGGAATGCATAGCTACATTCCTATTGGCTATTTCACTTTGCAATAACCAATAGCAAACTAGATATTGCACCCGCCCACTGCTGCTGTCAATCACCAAAGGGTACCTGAAATTCTCCATCAGGTCCCCTTCTAGTGATTGACAGCAGCAGATGGCGGGTGCAATAGCCAGCTTGCTATTGGATATTGCAAACTGAAATAGCCAATAGGATTCTAGCTATGCATTCATATGCTGATTTTTTTTTATTTTTTTATTCTGACGGCAGCAGCTGTCAGAATACTAAAAAAAAACTTGCAGATAAAAAAAAACTTGCAGATAGCAAAGAAACTATTGCTTCCTCTGCTATCTGCCATCATTTCAATCGTTTTCTATTTTTTTTCAACTTTTTTTAACAGTTTTTCTATTCTGCTTGGGACCACAGAGGTACCGAGCATAATATCCAAGCCAAATGCCGCTCGGCGGCATTCGTCTATTCACTCACTGCTGTTCGGCATCTATGAGAATAGGCT